GTTTGTATCCCCCTCCAATGCTACGCGCTTTGCTACCCTTCCACCTGGTCTCCTGCACACACAGTATATCTACCTTCCTTCTCTCCATCATGACCACCAGCTCTCTACCTTTCCCTGTCTTTGTGCAAACGTTAAGAATCCCTATTCTCAGACCTATACTCCTGCCTTTCCTCTTCTTTGTCTACAAATCCTTCTACCTCCTCTCCAGTAGTCCAATTTCCGCCAGCACCCTGTAGGTCAACAGCACTGGTGGCAGTCGGTGTTAACCTGGGCCTCGACCAATTCGGTATGGAATTCACACTGATGATTCGTATGTTTAAATTTTGCACGTTTTTACGCCGGATGCCCTTCCTGACGCAACCCTCTCTATTTATCCAGGCTTGGGACCGGCAAAGAAGTCACTGGCTTGCAACCCCTGTGGCTAGATTCTCCCATGCAGCATACATTCTCTTATTATATTGCTGCATTTGCTGCTTAAAGTGCCTTAGATTTTGTGTTACTCATCTACTTTATATTTCATTTGTATTTTGTGGCATTCATGCGGATGGCAAAGTAAGAATTTCATTGTACAAGTAAACGTGTTTCCTAACTGTGCATGTGACAAACACTTTGATCTTTGATGACTGGCAGCTGTTTGTCTTGACTTCAGTCTAAATGGAGACCGTCTTACACAGAGGTGGCAGCAGAACTCAACAACATTTCAGTAAAAGTTCATGTACTGTACTTGCATAAGAACCTACTCCACTACAAAAAAGAAATGCATGTTAAAAGAACAGCGTCGTCTAAACACTACAGAACATGATGGCTTTCAAAACAAGAGGGCGCAAATCTAGCCCAGATACGTTCGACGTGCCTTATAACATTTCCGCAGACAATAAGTTTATCATAAATCTGAAAGTCAACTGTAGATCCAACAGAGGATAGGTTACTAGTCAAGTCATAGCAAATTTGCCTAGAAGCAGGTTTTACTGATTTGTCTCACTATTAGAGTGAACATGCTCAACCAAACCTAAAGTGTACTGGATGGCTAACTGACCCCAACAACACATGGAACCAATTAGCGGGCACACGCCTGGCCCACCGCCAGCCTGAGAAGTTTCTTGCTAGCAACATTTTGCTAACGTCAACTCTGGCTAATGCTAGATAAAATAGCCCACCTGAACTCGGAAATATACATTTGTTCAACTGCTTTACCTCACAGTAATAGCTAGGCATCCGTGCGCTGTATATATAACGATGAACATAACATTTTTACTGTGATTTTCTACTGCAACTCACCGACGTACCAAAGGAGCGCGCGCCATCTTCCATCTTCCTTTTAAAACCTGTAGCGGAAGTAAACCACGTGAGACCTAGTTACCCTCTGATTGGACAGTCTAACTCTGTTCTGTGATTGGATTGTCATTGCCTAATCAGATTCATGTATTTAAAAACGGCCTTATACCTAATGACTTTTTAAGCGTTTTCTTGTCGCAGACAAATTTCCAAGGTCGGAATAAAGTCATGCGAGTCTTAACACACTCGTATCATATCAGTCTTTTAATGTAAATTAGTGATCTGAGCTGTTTTAAGTCAGTCTTTTTGTCCTCTTGATGTTCTGATAAAATCAAATGTTTAACATTATTATTATGTATATTTTTAACTGTTTAATATTATCCAAAGTCTTTAGTCTTGGCAATGAACATCATAAGCATGGAGCATTCCCTGGTGGGCTAGTGGTTAAGACACAACAGAATGTCCACATTCTACTGTGTCTTCTCTTTTTCTTTTTGGCTGTTTTTTCCACGCAAAACACTGCACACACAAGTTCAGCTGTAATGCAGGAGCATATGGGAAGAAGCCTCCAGAGAAATCTGGTTGCAGTCTTGCAAATACTGACCCTGCAAGATCTTTGCAAAATGATAGTCTATGACTAAAAACTGTCTAACGACACATTGTCTTTAGATGTGACAAGGTGTGAGACTTTAGTATTTTAAAAGTTTTTTTTTTTAATCTTATCATAGTCAGCAACTGGATGCATGCAACATAGGCCAGCTTAACTTGACTTCTATGTGCAATTTGCTGCTTTCTATCTGTACACAGATGTTCACAAACCCAATTATCTTCAGTCTTTGACACCTATTCAAAACATTTTTACAAATAAAAAAATATTTGTGACCCTATACTGAGCCCATGATTCCCTTACACATAGAACTACTTTTGTTTTCTTCATCCCACTTTTCAGCTCTTGTGGATGAGAATGAATCAGTGCTGACAAATACATGTATATACCAGTGTATGTAGTGGCTAAATAAACGAAAGGTCTTGTAACATCCAAGTTTTTATTTGAAGACTTTATTGGATTTGATTTGACAGATGGTTTGAATAAAACTAGATTGGTGTTTAGATAGTACTGACTCAAAAGTAAGACACACAAACACATACACTGTGTTTTTGTATTAAAGCTCATCTTTGGTTTTGTTGTCCTTTTTTGCCTCTTCAGCTTTTATGGCCTCAATATATTTCCTCCTGTCTTCATCCTCCTGGTGACACAAAGGAAGGAATTTTTATTTAAAGTTCTCAAGCACACACAGTCATACAAACTCAAACCACTGCATTGTGAATAAAATGATTTACCTTAACTCTGTCTTTTTTGGCTTTTTCCATCTCTTTATCTAAAAATTTAACCAGGTACTTCAACTTCCTTTTTCCAGTGTAAACCAGCATCTGATGAGAATACAGATATAACATAATGAACATTATTCACTCAATTTATTCGGTTTGTCGCTGAGATTTCTTAGTGGATATGTTGGAATATAGTATACTATAAGTATGTATTTATCCTTATTAACATGATATTTTTGTTTCTGTTTATAAAAAGACCAGGTTTGCCCCATGACATATTTCTGTTACTAGCAGTATCTGTTTTTTGTTGTTGGTTGTAAACATCTGTTACTAGTTTGCATTTCGTAAGACACAAATACCCCAACAATTATTTGCTCCAGCAATACTTCATACCCTTTCAGCATACACAGCAGGAAACAGGCAGAGTGATGGGTACGGTCCGTGCATCGACATGTTGATGTCATTGGCTGAGGCATCCATGCGAGCGATGACCACGTCCTCTCGCTCCTTTAAGGCCTCAGCTAACTCTTCCCACAAAGGGAACAGAGCGCGGGACTCCTGACTGTAGGGCAGATCTGAAATACACAGTAGACTGTAAATGAGTACTCGCTCTCTGAACATAAAGATAGATAACCTTATTTCTAAAAGATCCCCATTCTAGGCATCAAGTGTACAAGTTCACAACACACTGTCTGATCTATCTTGCTCCATTCCTGGAGGATGACCTTCTTGATGTTTGATGAGCAGGTGCTCATGACATTACTGTACTTGGCCACTGCAGCAATTTAACCTTGCTCTCCCTTAAGAATACAGCAGTGACCTTGGAAGAATGTTTAGAGCCACTGTCATGCTGAAGAAGTGTCTGGTGACCCAGGGCATGAAATAGAGCATGTTCTCTTTCAAAAGCATCTTCTAGCAGCTAAACCTAGCTTGAAGTCTGTTTGACCAGTGACCAGAAGTGCATATGGTATTGATTAACAGCTATGAGCTCCCAGACTTTGGCCTTCTTTGACTGGATAGAAAGGTGTGGCTTAAAACCTTTCGAAGGGAAATATCTCAGCACTGCTGCCAGGCTGTTAAGTGAGTCCCCATCACTGAAGCCTCTGACAGCACCTCTCCACAATGAGATATGTTTGAATGCATATTTCATTTAAAATAATAAAAAACATTACATACTCTAGTTTTAACTAAGTGCTGTGAGCACCTAAACATAACCATTAAATCATTTAATAATACTGTAATCACTACAAGTGGATATCTTACTGCAAGATTTTGGAAGAAAGCAAATACATGACTGTGAATACTTACTGATATTAACTTGCACTGTGCTTCCACATGCAAAATATGCAATATCTATGCTTTCCATGTAGTTTTTAAATGAGTGTATTTTTCATACATACAGAACAGGACGAAAACAGTCTTGCTGGGGTTAAAGGCAACTTTCTCCAGGGTCACTCCCACCAGCTCCTTCACTGGCTTTTTGTCCCATCCCTCAGGTATCGGCTCACTCTGCATCTTAGGCTGTTACATTAAGGGGCAGACAAACATGATGTACAACAGAACAACCTGTCATCCCAGTTTCTGTTATGTATCACACACCAGATTTAAGTATAGTTTACCTTAGCCTTGCCCTCTAGGTAGGACTGGCAGAACTGTGTTATGGTATGTTTATCCAGAGTGTCAGAGGGCAGGTGATAGGTCACATGATCTGTCAGGTTAACCAGTCTGATGAGAGGAGCCTCAAATTCTCGCACTCGGAAGTATTCCATTAGTCTGCCGTTACGAGGCTCATCCACATCCACCAGCGTAAACAAGATCTTAGCACACACAAACACACTTAGAGAAGTCAAGCACTCCAACTCCAGCCTTGCACCAAAATTGTCCTGTGTGCTGCTATTTAAAGAACCTCTGTGTGTGTGTGTGTGTACCTTCAGCCTGAATGCCTCTGCAGTGCTGTTAAAGGCAGAGTAAATTTCCTTAAAGTCTGCAGAGCTTTTGTTGACAAAGAGAAGGGCATGGTGTAACACAGGTGAGGTTAAGATCTGAGTGGCTGTCTGGAAGAGAGAGAATAATGTACACGCTCTCAGCTATTTCTGTTATGAGGATGCATGGTTAGTTTCTTATGTTAGTCAGTAAATATAAGCAAAATATTTCACAAATATACCAATACAGTCAACTCTGGAGTAGAACAGTTACTGTACACTATATGCATGTGGAAATACATCATATACTCTACCTTTCCTGTGTATTCAGTGACTGGGTCCATCTGGTAGACAGTGATAAAGATGATCAGTTCCTCTTTAGATGTGTTAGGCGTCATTTTATAAGCCTGGATGAGCTTAGACTGCAGCAGACATAAACAGACACACACACAGGTTAGACTGCAATGAACTGCTGGTCTACTTCTTTATAAATGTGTGATTATCTAAAGATTCAAATCACACAGTTCATATTATGTGACAGCTGCTTTTTGCTCTTTAAATTTATGAATGTAATGTTGTTTTAGCAGCCACCTCCTTTTATAGTGTCCAAAATGGTGCACCCAAAATAAAGTGGTTACAAATCTGTAACGCTAAGTCCTTGAAACAAACAAACCAGAGAGAATCATAAAGTGAACAGTGGTGGTTTTATGTATTTTTCTCAAGAATGACATGAGACTAAAAGCCTGCACTTTTTGTACTGCTGCCTTTCTGATGGAGTAAAGTGGCTATACACTAAGAATTTCACTCGATATATGACAGAAAATGCATCACTGTTTCGTTATGTGTGCAGCCTAATTAAAAACAAGGAACTGATTAGTTTACACCATTAGCTATAGAGAAGCGTTGTGCTTTCTAATGATGTAACCTATAGTTTGTCAACACTGACCAACACGACCAGTTCAGCCTGAGGACGGGCCAGGTTAACATGCTCTTATAAAGTTATGTATTTCTGATTATTTACACTATTTCTTTTGTCTCTGTTTCATTCTTTTAACACCAAGAGTCAGTGTAAAAGGAAACACAATAAAACAAATGGTTTCATTTTTCTGAATTATAATGAAAGAGCTGAAATACAATCATCACACAAAAAAAAACATCAAATCAAAAACATCTAATTCACTTTATAATCAACGAGTCCAGACTTAAAAATGATAAAATAAATGTAAACAGCATGTAATTATTTATAGAATAATTAAGGGTGCTCTGGATAGCCCAGTGGTTTTGGCAGGTGTCCATGTAAGGATGCACATCTGTGTCCAGCTGCAAACCTCTGTCACAGCCCTCCCCTTCACTCTCTCACCCTGCTTTCCTGTCTCTCTCTACTGTGCTATCAAACAAAGGCTAAAAGCTTGAAAATAACTTCAAAAATGATTACAATACAAGCTTTTTTTAGTTTGTGATATCAAAACATGCTGTGATTTGCTGCAGCCATAAAATGTGTTAAGACAAAAACAAACTAATCTTTAAGTGCTACAGTTTTATTCAACTGAAACTTTTTTGTTGGGAAGCATTTACCTGAGATGTATCCATGCATTTTGTTTTGTCTGTTGTAGAGCTGCAACCATTATTCAAGAGTGGCAAAACTGGTCTGGTTCCAGTTTCTCAATGTGATGAGCCTTTTGTTATTTATGTAAATTCTGTCACTGGCATAGTAGGGTTCTGTGGCTGGGCTGTGTGAAGTTTGAGCTGTATTGAAAGTACCTTTTTGAGCAGCAGCACAGAATCATGTGTGACTCTGTATTTGCTGATAACTTCATTGTTCTGTGTCACAGCAAAGCGAACATCAGGAAGGTTGATGGCTGCATCATAGAACACCTGGACATGCTCGTGGCTGAGCTCCTACACGTACAAATTCATGCAAATTGTTAAGCATGAGCAAAGTGACAAACCTGAAAGAAGAAAAATCAAACAGCTGGTTTTCACCTTAAAGAATCCAACCACTGTGAGCTCCTCTGAGGCTTCTGATTGGCTAAGGTCAGTGATGAGGTCTGCAACAGACCCCGCCCTCCGTTTGAGCCATGTCAAGATGGACGCCGAGCTCTGAGGCACTGAATCACATTCCAAGAAATCAAATTGTTTTTACCTTCAAAATTTTATCCAAGCCAAATAATAGTGAACAACTTGATTGATATTAAAAAAATGTTTGGTGAAATATGTTAGACAGGAGGATCAATACTAATCTCATATGTCTGGTAAAAGTAAAGCTACTGTTGTATCCGGTACTTTTTACCATACTGACTCTGAGAGACGAGACAGTCCAAGTAACTACAAAACAGTGCTGATTTATTCAAAGGATCACAGGTAAAATTAACATGACATGCTCAGGTATCTTGCACCTCCAAACTGCACGCAGGCAGATGAAAGATGAAAGACCCCGAACCAAACCAGGCCTATACATTATATCCCCTCGGTTGGGCTAGCCCCATACTACACAGGAACGTCAACCGAGACGTCTCTGTTGCCAGCTTTGCAGCTGGTCATAGCAGTAGTCAAAACATAAAGTAAATCAATGTGTCTGTGTCTGTTGATTAAGTGGTGTGTAGCTAAAAACATTCTCACACGACCTCTAGTGACATGTCATGACATTAAACATAAGAACATATTATGGCTAAGGCTACAGTTATACACATCATAATAATAATATTAAACATCCTGTCTGCTGACAGTCATCAACTCTTCTCTCTAGTTATCCTTGACCAGATGTACCCTGTAGAAACTCATAAACATGCCTAAGCATTTAACAGTCTAACTAGACATACTATCTCCACTAAACATTTCTAATAGATAAAGTATCTATCTAATTTCTATCTGACTAAAAATACCTAACACTACAGATGAGATGATTAGCTTATCTTAACATAAAGACTGGAAGTAGGGGGAAACAGGTCACAGGCTCACTCCAGACTGAGCTATTTAATGGTGTATTTCCATTACAGCTGTAAAATTAGATCAGTATTTACCCCACGGAAGCTTCCAGGGGCACTGCACTAAATGGTGCTACTTTAGCTGCAATGCTAATGTTGCTAGCAGTAGACTGCAACATTCCAGAAGCTCAAACAGTGCTGTAGCTTATTCTGCATGCCAATATTTTGTCAAGCAAATACATGCACATAATCATGAAAAGTGCCTTAATTTTTTTATCCTAATTAGAACATGTTAAGTTAGGTCCTGACTGGCTCAGTTATTCTTCAACCAGGAAGTTGCCAGCAGTAACCCCAGACTTTTGAATAGCTTGACAAAACTGAGCTGTCTGAAATCAGGTGACCTTACTGAGATTATAGTGCTTAAGAAACTGATAAATTACAGTTCCATAAATAATAAGCACAGACATTAATGTGTAATGGAGATAGTATTTGTCATTTGCACATACCAGGGCAGGGAACAGGGTTGTGTTTATCTCCAGAGAGGTACAGTCTGATTGCTGGGGGACCTGTGGCATTGAGCTCTTTAGCCAGGTCCTTCTCCTTTGTCACATCAACCACTGCCAGTTTGACCTCTGACCCCTGAAGCTCTGCAGCGGCACCTTCGAACGCTGCTGATACACGATAGCCTTCTCCAGACAGAGGAACATCTACACACGTGAAAACAAACACGCACAGTAAGTGAGGATACATAAAGTTATGATGACTCTGCTGCAGTGTGAGGTGGTTATTCGGTTTTGAGGCAGTTCACAGACACTTTCAAATCATTCAAATCACTCTTACACTGTCAATTTTATGCTTACAACTTACGGAAGTACACCAGGAGTTGCTTGTGTTTTCTCAGTGCTCTGTTGAAATGTCCTTTCTTCAGCTGTAAAACTCCATCCTTCTCAGGGAAAGATTTGTCTCCCTGTTGGTTGGGTTGTGTGTCAGCAGCGACTAACACACAGAGATAGAAGGCCGTGGCCCCCAGCAACAACAGTCTCCTCATGACAGCTCACCCACAATCTGACAAACTGTACACTGAACAAGCTTGACAGGAAGATATAGAGGGAGCAGTGAAAGGAAGGACTGATATGTGTGGGTGTCTATCAGTGCTCAGCTGGTAGCTGTGAATGCTTTTCTTATCTGCCGACTGGACCCACCAGTCTATAGCTGATTAACTTTCCTATCTAAACCCTGCTGTATCTCTGCTATTGGCTGTTCCTATCAAGTATATCACTAATATCTAAATGCCCTTTGCATAACACTGTTAGGCCCAGCAAGGTCAAAATGGAAGCACAAACCGATGCACACACACTCCCCAACCACACACACGGCTCTCATTAAATCAAATTCACCCTCTTGCACAGATGTTAGAAAAGTAAAACAGCGCTGCACAAAAGTAAGCATTTTTATTTCCCTATCAACATGATAGAATAACAAATAATGACCTGACAACATTTAAATAAAATAAAAAAAACAGAAAGCTGAGTCCAGCTTGGCAGGGATAGTGAGTGCTGCATATTATTACAACAACAGCAGCAGGTGAAGAAGGTGCCTTAAACAGTCACTGTCATAACCTTCACCCACAACCTTCAACCTGTTCTTTATACCAGGAATTCACAGAAGCTTTTATCATTCCATCAGAAACATATTGAACTTTGTACCGTGTCACAAGAATATCATCAGCTTTATTGCCTGAGGTTGTACATAATGTATGTGATATATATGCACCTAACAATAATAAAGTTAAAGGAATGCCTGTATTTTTTTCACCACATACTTTAGTTCATTATACACAAGTGAAGGGCTGAAGATGATATTTTGTGTTTTTCATAACTCAGGATGTTAATTAAAAAAAATCACACTTCAATGTATGGAAACATACGTTTTTACAGCAAACAAAAGTATTAAAGCTACTCTACCCAGTTTCTTTTCTGCCACTAGAGGGTCTAATGAGACTCAGAACAAACTGATACTATAAGCGTTCCTAACTGCCCTCGCCCCTCCCGTCATGTCCTGTTTCCTAGTGCAACATAAACAATGGATGTCTTGTTGCAAAAAACTACAAAATGAAGCCTCCGGTCTTTTTGAATGGTAGCATGGTCTAATCTTGTGTTTTGATTTTTGGTTGCTGTAGCAAAACATCTGGATTTCAGACTGGCCCTACAGATGTTTTCGCTTATTCTGTCTGATCATACTTCTGCTCTGTAGAGTGTAGAGCACTTTGAGTGTTTTAGTAACATTAGTGACTTATCATGGTTGTGATTTTGCCTTTGTGTTGAATTTTGTTTTGGGAGTAATTCCAGCTTTGTGTGATGTTAATACATTTGGGACTGTCTCTTCACTTTCGACCTCATCACTTGATATTGTCCTGCTGCAGTGCTGCATAGAGCTGGTGCTGTGTTGAGATCTGTTCCTCTCATCAAGATATGAAACCCTACCCCTACCCCCATACCATAGAAGGGGCTGCTACTAGGAACACAGTTTTAACGGGGGAAACACATCTGGATAGGGGAACAATTTTCGACACAAGACTGGGACTCAGCTAACGGCAGCTTCTGACTGGTGTTCAATGTTGCTAGGAAACAAGATGTGTCAGTTTGCTCTGAGTCTCACTAGACCCTGTAGCACTGAAAAAAATTGTTAATGCACTTTTAAATATAGAAAATGCAACCATTACTGTTTATGGAAAACATAAACAGAGTTAAAAATGAAGTCCCTCAACTATACATCATCTAGTTCATCATAAATATCCAGTGTGTTTAGTCTGCTCCCTATAATGTTGTTTATGGTTGGATTCAGTATTCTCATGTTTTACATTTGCAATACATTCTCACAGAATGGCAAAAGTGCAAAGACTGTTTTTGTCTGTCATTCTATATATTAGAATCACTTGTGTGCATATGAAGAATCCTTCAAAACACATGTGTAATATAGAGTATCTCAGCCCACCAGCCATCTCAGGTGCAGAGGTGGAATATGATTTAGAAAATAATATTCAAAATGAAGAATTAAATATATTTGGTATACTCACTCTCTGCACTGTAGGTTTTAAAAGATGTTAATTTTGTCCTTCATAGTAAAAATCAGCTGTGGTGAGTTTAAAAAGATTCCAACTGTGACAATTTTTATAGAATGTCTATAGAAATGACTCAAACTGCTCCTACAGCATAATCCACTTGCCTTCTGTCCATGCTCAGTATGTAAACTACATATTACAGTTTGTGACAAAGGCTCTGACAAAGATTATTTATTCATATTGTGACAAAAATACCTATGTGTGTTATACAATTTTGGGTGGACTGAGGACAAAAGGAGCCTTACTAATCCTCACAGTGTCATCTTTTGTAAATGTGCAGACAATTTCCACACAGCGGACAGTAGTGATGAACATCTTGTAGACCACGTATCATCAGCGGGATCAGACAGAAACCACAGATCAGCCTGAAACACACACACACACATACGCCAGGACAGAAAATGTTCAGGGAGTTTTGTCAAAGATGTTATAGCACTCTGAGATTGAATACTTGTGTGTGTATTTGTGTGTCTCACCCCAATACTGCAATGCATATACACAAGCACCAGGCGTCCCTCCCAGGCACGTTCTTGATCTTAGTGGTGACAACATGGTGGCAGTGTGGGCAGCTCACCAAACCAGGGGAGTCGCTCAGATGTGTCACTGAGACTAGAGCAGGCGGTGGCTGGATCTGAACTACTGGTAGAGTTGATCCGGTACAGACAGAACATGGTACGCCAACTGGTATTTAGAAGAAAAAGGACATACAGGAGAAAATAAGGACAAAGAAGGAAACAAATGAAACATTATTTCCACCTTAATAAGTTGGATTGTATGTAAATAACTGAAATGTAGTCTAAATACTTAGTGTTTGTGGATGGACAATGATTCCAGTGTCTTGAGAAGGTGAAGCCACAGCAACTGGCACTGTCGGTGGAGTCAGGACAGGAAATGGATTTGGTTGGACTATAATGAGAATAAACAAATACTTAAGGGCACACCCACATTAAGCAACCCTGTCTCATTACATCATTACATTTTTAAGCTACATTCACATTGTGACCCAGATGTGATCTTTTCACAGATGTGTGAACAAACCAAATCAGATCTGGGCCACTTCCACATTTGATCCAAAAATTGATTCATATCCATGCGACTGCTGAGGAAGATTCAGATTTGTTGGATATTTATGGAGACACTTATGTTCAAAACAAACAGGAAGGAACATCGTGTAACAGAGAAGTTTTCTGGTACCCAGGAAACATTTCAGGCAGTTCTGCGCATGGCAGTTTAGGACATCAGCGATGTTCACACCGGAGCTGGAAACATGTCACTTACAAACAAGAATGTGAACCATTAACACAAAAAAAGATTGGAAACAGAAAGTCAGAATTTAGCATTAAGGCCTGTAACATGAGCGTGACCTTAAATTCTACTAAACTGGATTCAGAGTTCTGTTGTGGTGGCAGTATAATCACTGGCTGGACAAAACCCTAACTTTAACCCTAATACCCTAATACATTTTGTTTGTTTGAATGAATGAAGCACTACATTTCTTAACAGCAGGGGAATGAATACATGGTTGGGGTGGATATTAGGAATATACAAAGTCCTTGACACCAGAGACTGGGATTCACACTCCACAGTCCTGGTCTGTGATTATGTTTCAGCAACAAAAGCACTTTGGTTAAGGTTATGAACAGATCATGCTTTGATTAAATGTAAATAAATACTGTTTGTAACATTGCAGATAGCAATTAACATGAACTACATTAATGCTGAACTGCAAGACTGGACACATTTTGCTAATTCATTTAGTATGATGTGCCAAATACATAAATTAACATTCATTACATTAATAGAGAGCATAATGTATTTGCAATTACAGTCTCCTCAAAACATATTTGTTATTGCAAATTAGTTGTATCTAAATTCAGTTGCTAAGAAACAGGGTTAATTTAGGCCAGTTACAAATGCACTTCATTGTTTTTGAAAAGCTCAGTTTTCCAGATGTTTGCTAAAAGATGAAGCAGGTATTATCACATTTGTCTTTTCTTTATACTGTTCCCAGAAAGTTTAGCTTACAGGTGAGAAAAACCCAGGACACAGCACACAGTCAAAACTGAGTTAATAAAGATGAACTTACAAATGTAGTTGAGTGTGGATTAAGTCACCATGAAAAGAAATGAAGAAGAGAAAATAGTGTGATGTTATCTTACCTGCTTCTCTGTAGGTGGGAGGAGGTGGTGCGGAGGAGGAGAGGGGAGGGCAGCGGCTGGCCTCTTCATATGACGGGGGGTCCATCAGGAGATCATCCAATCAAACTAGATGCTGGTGATAAAAAGAAGGATAGACAGAGATGTAGATAAATTTGATTGTTATGCAACAGAGAACATGGTTAAAATCAAAGTAGATCTAAATATGTGAAATCCTTTTTTTCTCAGAGGACATTTGGACATGTCACACTGTCATAGCAGACATTGGAACAAAACAGGGCTTAATAAATATTATTAATAACAACAGTTTTTCCTACAGTGACATGTCAAACTGTCTCAGTGGAAAAAGGACCACTATTACCGCACTGCATGAGTGGATTTGGTCTCCATTGTCTGTCTTAAAAACAAGTCAACACACTGAATTTCACTGAAACGTGGTAGAAAATGATGTCATGGACTTTTAGTGTTAAGTGATCACTGCATCAGCTGTTTCTGACCTGGGGGGGGGGGAGTCAATGTCACCTACAGGGACACAGCTTGATAAAGAAACAGTTTTATGCACTTTAGCTGAAGACAACAAAGAAGAAGATGATGAAGAAGACGACAAAAAAGAACAAGTAGTAGTAGTTGCACTAAAAATAAAGTAAAGACGTTTTATGCTGTTGCTCTGCGTATTGTTACTGCAGAAACAGTTCTTTAATTTGTGCTTATTTCCTGGACACTTTTAGCTCTTCAGGCATCTAAAAATCCTTTAAATGATGCAAATCAATCTGAGACTTTGGTCAAACTGCTCACAGCTCATGTCCACACTAAGCCCATACGTTGTGATGACCATGGATGGATCACTGAATGAGCTCATTGGGCAAAGGCCCAGGGACCTTAAATGTTTCATTGAAAGGTTAATTAAATGATCACAAAAAATATGTAACACAAAACAAAACAATTACAACATACAAACCACTAAAAAGAAAAAGACCTCAAACACACAAAACAATTATAAAAATATGCAAAATGACAACTAGAGAGACACTAAACAAGTAAAATGAGTGTAAAATGACTAAAAACATACTAAATCAGTAAAAATGGACACAAAATGGCTAAAAGCAGACAAAAAACTATTGCAAAGTGATACAAAATAACCACAAGGAGAAACAATCTGATTATGTATCATGTTGTAGCTCAATCTCATCCCTAGAAGTGTTGGAGAGATGGGGGACTCGTCCATATCTGTCCCCAGGGACCTATTGACTCGTAATCTGTCCATGGTGATAATGGGTGGGTTTGGTTTAAGGCACACAAGAAAAACAGGTTTGGAAACGCTGGGAAAGGGGGTTAAAGCACCTCTATGCCAGATTGTTTTTGTGCGACTCCCAGAGATAGTATCAAAAAATGTCACGATCCAGAGAGCTGTAAAAACACTGATACAAATAACATTACATGTATGCAAAATAATCTTTTAATAAAGGTGACTGTGTATTTACCATTTTAAATGGATCAGTCACTATCAGCTTCACGTACTGCTGTTCAAATGTTTCATTTACTGTGTCACTACAGAGTTATACAGAGTTAATTCTGAATCATGTGACTCCGCTTCAACTCTTCTACACAAGGTGTATTTTCATGTCAGTTCGCCACCCAGAGTCAACAGCATCAGCCATTAAACACACCTGCTGAATGCAGCCACGTTAGTCTAGCTCACATGGACTTCTTGTTGTGCAGAAAAAGATCCATCCAAGCCCTGGTATCTGATCCAAACTGACCTGTCTCCACTCAACACTGTCTGCAGAGAAAAGTGTGTGTCCTTCACCAGAAAAACAGTGAGATGTGTGAGATATATGAGAGTTGTGGTCTTACCTTGGATTAACGAGGAAGCTCAACTGGCAGGAGAAACACACCTGTGAGAGCCGTGACATCACAGCC